TGGGGCTTATTTATTAAATATTTATTAGTTAGATTTGGATCTTCAAAACTTTTTCCCTTTACAAACCACTCTTTGAATATCTTGTTATTTCAGAATAATAGTCTTTGGTATGTCATGTTATTCCATTCAAAATAAAAGCATTGTATTTCTGTTTTTATTTCCCCAGACTTATATTAATAATTCTTCCTGAAATACTTTTTTCAGGTGACTTTCAACTCTAGAGTAGAAGGCAACAAACTCAAAGTTATCTCCCTTCCCTTGCATGTCCAAACAGATGATCTGACATTGTTCACCCAAATGTAATTACTTAGATGTCTGTATTTCCTGGCATAAAAAAAATCTGTGAATCAGAAGAAAGAAATTAGCTGGAATAATTCTAGCAAGAGGAGTGGGGGGAAATGAATTTCAGAAATTGTATTTCTCTCTTCCTCTTCTTTACTATTTTGTAAACTTCTAAATCTGCTGGTAAAAATGCCAAATCCTGTCTAAACATCTGGCTTACTGTGTGACCAACCATAATAAGACAATGTTACTTTCAACATTATTTTAGTATGTACATTTAGCAATAAGAGCTATTTCGTTAGATAGTAATTAGAGTGTTTTGTTCAGTTTTATTTTTTTCATGTATGACAAAACTGTATTTTTGGAATTCATATCTATGGCTATATACCTATATATACTTGAGAATAAATAATGTTGAAAACAACATTTAATTTTGAATAAACTACACGTTTATATTTTTATTTATTTAATTTTAATTTAATTTTATTCTTTACCTTTACTCTCAGGTGTTAATCTAAACAGATAAAAATATAATTGTCTCCCCTGTGCTTATATACGGTACCTCAAGTGTTCTGCTGTGAAGAGAATCTTACAAGTAACCTTGCCAACATTAATGAGCAAAATGTTGGAGAAATAAATGTCTTCACTATCCTAATTACAGGTCACACCCAACTGCTGAAAGTTAAAAAAAAATCTGGAAAGGTGATCTGTTTTTCCTTACAGTTACAAACAGCATTAGTCAGTGCCTCTAAGTACTGCTGTTATTTCATCATGTACCTTTAGCGATAAGAGCTGTTTCATTAGATAGTAATTAGAGTGTTTTGTTCAGTTTTATTTTCTTTTTAAACTTCAGTTTGTGGGTAGATAAATAAGGTACAATTTTGGCTTTTAGTTTACAGTGGAGCTCTTACTCATTTCCTCTTGTAATAGATAAGATGAAGCTCCCAAATTAGAGAAAGACATGGTGAGAAATTGAAAGGATAATTTAAACGTAGAGCTAAGTAAAAACTTTTTTTAAAAAAAAAAAAAAACTAGAATTCAGGAGATTTAGCTAGAATAAATCCTGGATTTTTATATATTTTTACTGGACAGGCCACCGGGGATGATTAAAAGAAAAAAGTCATATGCAGAATACAATAACTTTTTTAAATGTAAAGAGGAAAGAGTTACAATCAGATTTATTTATTAAATTTATTTGCTGCCCATCTCACCATGGGGCTACTCTGGGTGGCTTACAACAGTAAAAACGGGGAAAAAATGATGAAAAAGGTAAATATAATAAAAGCAAAGCAATGAAACAGTAAAAGTAATAAAAGTAAAATAATATGAAATTTTAAAAGATGGTCTAAGGGGCATCAGGAAGCGCAAGGGAAGGTGGGTTCAGCTAATTAGTCCAGTAGCCACCTCCTGTGTGGTACTCCCTTTTTGGATCCCTAGGTCAACTGGCAGTCAGGTCTTTAAGCTCTTGCAGAAGAATAAAAGGGCAGGGGCAAACCTCACCCCAGGGACCACAGTGTTCCAGAGGGGTTGGTGCTACAACAGAGAAAGTTTTTCTTCTGAATCCTGCCCGTCAAGAGTTCCTTGTCTGACGGGATCCCCAGCACGCCTCTGCTGGCAGGAGTAGGGTGAGCTTGTCTTAATGGGATGAGATGCTTCATCAAGTAATCTGGACCCATGCCATAGAGGGCTTTAAAGGTCAAAGACAACACCTTGAACTGCACCCAGAAGCAAACCAGAAGCTAGTATATCTCATAAAAACATTGGTGTTGTATGGGCCATTCTGTGGGTCCCAAAGATTGCTTTTATTAATTATAGTTTCCAAATACATTTCAAGAGTAGCCCCTTGTAAAGCACATTACAATAATCCAGACGAGAGATGACTAGGGCTTGAGTGACTGAGTGCAGGGAGTCCTGATCCAGGAAAGGCCGCAGATGGTGCACAAATTAAGATGTGCAAAGGCTCTCCTACCACCACCTGCTCTTTGATCAGGAGTCCTGAGCCCAGGAGAACCCCTAAGTTGTGAATTGGGTCTGAACGGGATAGTGCAGTCCCATCCAGAACTAAAGATGTCAAAGATCCGAGTCTGGAAGCTCCATGCACCCAATGCAATGGAGTGGCACCCAAAGCCTCTCAGTTTGAGGAAATGGTTACCAGCAACAAATTCCTGGGTGTGCAGTTAACAAGTAGGCTAGCTTGGTCTTCAGTAGTGAGATACTGGTGAAGTGGGCACAGCAGCATCTGCATTTTCTGCATCGCATGAGAAAAGCACATCTCCTTTCCCTGTCCTTACCACTTTCTACAGAGGGACTATTAAAAGCATCCTGTCATACAGCATCACAGTCTGGTTTGGAAGCATCACTGCTTCAGACAGGAAGGCAGTGCAGAGAGTGGTGAGGATGGGTGAAAAGATTATTGGCAGTTCTCTCCCTTCCATCCAGGATATACCACATAAGCGTTGCTTGAGCAGGATCCGTAAGATTGTCTGGGACACTACACATCCTCTTCACAACCTATTTTCCTTGTTACCTTCTGGGAGGAGGCTTCGTGGTAGCAGAACATCCAGATTCAGTCACAGTTTTGTTCCATACAGTATTAACCTTATGAACTCTAAAGCTTCCTCCTTCCGTTATGTATTCAAGATAGACAGTGATTAATATTTATATGTTACTTATATGTAACAATGTAGGTCTATACATATGTTGTATATAGTATGTTTAAATGTGTGCTATGTATGTGTACTTTGAGAGCAAGCAACTAAATTTCATTTTTAATGTGCGCCATTGTGCCCACAGTAAAAAATGACAATAAAAGATTATCCATCCATCCATCTTGCTAGGGTTCAGTTGTAGCCCATTAACCCCCATCCAGCTCTACAGTCTCCAGGCACTGTGAGAGGATAGTGACAGCATCACTTGAATCACCAGGTGCGGAGATATAAGTTGAATGTCATCAGTATACTGATGATACCTGAACCCATTGTGATGGATGATCTCATCCAGTGGCTTCATTTAGATGTTAATCAGGAGTGGACAGAGATTTAAGCCCTGCAACACACCATAAGAAAGCAACCAGGGACTGGGTTTGTCATTCCATACCAACACTGATTGGGATCAGCCTTGGAGAAAGGAGCCAAACCAGCTGAGAACCGTGCCGCTCAGCAACAAACTGTGCAGCTGGCCAAAGGGTTACCATGGTCAATGTATTGAAGGCCACTAAGTCAAGGAGAGCCAGGATGGTTCTACCAATATTCTGTTCTAACCAGAGGTCATCCACAAGTGCAACAATGCAATCTCAGGCCTGAAACCTGACTTAAATGCAATCTTTTATCAGAATAACCATCACAGAGCTCGGTGGAGATACTGTACCTCCAAGTAAATAGGCTTGAGCTGCATATCCAAACCATTTTTCACTACATACACAGTACAACCTCTGAAGTGAATTCCTAAATCTTGTTTTGACTAGATAAAAAAGCCATTCTTCTAAATTTGTCTCCCCTTCATCTACTAGAAATTTGACATACTTTGAATGATGGGTCAATTTGTAGTAATACTAAAATGATCATAGTTCATAATATTTGACGTTATTAGCAATCTGAGGTTGATATTTCAGAAAATATTATCCTTAGATGAGAGCAATCTGAGGTTGATATTTCAGAAAATATTATCCTTAGATGAGAAAGGGGAAGCAGAAAGAGAAAACTAGGTCTGCATGTTAACTCAGAAAGGGAAAATCAATAGATTCTATTTACCCATCACACATTTGCTTCAATAAAATCATTGTGCTTTCATAATACAAGTCTGTATCTATTCAAGAGTAAATCTTACTGATTTCATAAAATGTATTCTCGGGTATAGTCTTAAGTTTTGATAATACCTATGTATTCAGGAATAATGTATTGCGGATTTATACAAATATGGACACTTGGTAGTATTCTACATGCCATCGGTATAATTTTATTTATGTTTTTTACTCTTTTATGTAGAATTTTAGTACAATGTTAATGACTTTCCCCTTAAAGAGTAGATCACAAAAGTATTGCCACAGAATTTAATATATTTATGTCCCATCAAGTCAATGTCAACTGTGACAATGTCAACGTCATCTAGTGATCACACATAGATGAATATTGGATGATATGTCCCTAACCTGATCTTCCAATGTTGCACCTATTGCTGCTGTAATTGTAATTGCTGTAATTATAATTCACTTTGCTGCTGGTTTTCTCCTTTTTCTCTTTCCTTCCATCTTTCCCAGCACTATAGTCCTCAACTTATAACCATTCATTTAGTGATCTTTCAAAGTTACAATGGCACTGAAAAAAGTGACTTATGACTGTTTTCCACACTTACTATTGCAGCATTCCCATGGTCACGTGACCAAAATTTGAATGCTTGGCACATTTATGACTGTCCCAGTGTTCCAGGGTGAAGTGACCACCTTTTACGACCTTCTGACAATCAGTGGGAAAGCCAGATTCACTTAACAGCTGTCTTACTACCTTAACAACTGCAGTGACTCACTTAACAAATGTGGCAAGAAAAAATGGGGCAAAACTCACTTAGCAAATGTTTTGCTTTGCAACATAAATTTTGGACTCAATTGTGGTCGTAAGTCAAGGACTACCTATACTTCATACTATGTATCAGGATCTCATAATATTCAAGACCTGTGACATTGCATGGTTTGTCAACTGGATCATATAACATTTGTTTTGCAGAATTTAATAAAGTAAGAAAATCTGGAAGTGCTAAGCCAGAAACCAGGGGTGTGAACATTGGAAAGGAAAGACTATCAGAACAATACTTTTTATAAAAGGTATGGTATATTTTGCCTTTCTATTATCAATTTTATAGAGAATATGATTTTCATTGAAATTTATAGAATGTTTTGTCTAGGGCATTTACCCACATATGTTTATAAATATGTGACTTCTCCAAAAAACTTTTTAGAATGTGTCATGACTATTTCACAATAAAAAGTAAACTCAAGACAGAAAAACAAGACATTTTTGAAAGTCATAAAAATAGTGGAGTATGTACATACTTAGAACGATCATTTTCTATAAATGTCGGGTGAATGTAAGAAAATACTCGTCAATAAATAAGACATATTTTGTTATTATGACATTGAGTGTGTAACATTTATAACCGTATCATTCCTTATAAATTAATTGCAATTCTGGCATTGTTCTAAATAATATAATGCACTTATAATTCAATTATCACTGTTTCTGTGTTCAACTGTTAGTCAAATAATTACATTTGATACATGTTGTATAGGGTGTGTGCATGTGTATATAATACTCAGAATTGATGGTCTTAAATCAGTAATGACACCTAAGAAGAATGCATCTTTCACAATAATGCCTATCTGAGACCTATTAACTAAAATTGTTCATCAAAATAATATTTGGAACGCTAATCTTTAATTCCTTTTTAATCATTGCAATGCAACAATATAATTTTTATGGATTCAGTACCAAGTTGTTTGGGGCTGACAGGATACTGTTAGAATAGCCATCCAGCACCATGGAATGTATAGTATGGTTTAAACCTTTCTCATAACGAAGTGCTTCTATGCAGTATTTTAGAACTACTCAAAACTCAAACCTATTTCAGAATTTTGCAAAACCCTGAGAACCAGCAGAATTGGAAAGATCAACTTTACAAATAACCACCTTGTCTGAATCAGAAGAATTTTAACCACAGATCTTGCAGTTCCAAGTTCTAATAAAAATGTAGGGAGAAAAGCCACCAAAATGAATTTTATAGATTAGCACAATAAATAGACTGTAGTTTTAATGCAAATAAGTTGCAAGCTTTTGTTTGCATGTAGTTTGGGCTATCTGGCTTCAAATCAGTTATATGCAGTGCTTTTTTTTGTAAAAAAAAAAAAAAAAGGTGCCGGAACTCACACATGTCATACAACCCGCCTTGCCTACCCTACAAGATTCCATCCCAAAAAAGTGCCGGAACTCCATCCTGGGCATTCTATGACAAAAAAAGCCCTGGTTATATGACTTTAATTTTGATCAGCTTTAGGAGCACGGTGGCTCACATGGATAGGGTGCTGGTGTGGAGGTTAGCAAGCCCACGTTCGAGACCTGAATCTGTTGCATAGCGGGGTGAGCTCCCATCATTTGCTCCAGCTCCTTGACGCGGGGACACTAAAAGAGCCCCAGTTGGTGTGCTCCAGGCAACAGTGATGTCGCTGGCTAATCCTTTCAATGTGGAGGCACCTTAAAGTGGGTTTCTGACACGAACGGGATGGAGACTGGCTTTTATGTTGGTTTTGATAACAACATTTCATTTTGTTACGCTATTTTATAAACATGTTAATATGTTATGTTTAATTCATTTTACTGATGGTGGGGGAATTTAGTATTGTAAACTGTCGTGAATTGGTTGTGCAGAGACACAAATCGGATTCTAAGTTGAGAATTTTTCCCACCACCCATTTAGGAGAACCATAGCACTGCACAAAAAGCTTGCTTTTACCGGTAGCTAGTCAGTAGAGAAATCAGAATCAATTCTGTTTATTTTCTAGATCTATAAAGAAATCCAAGCAATTACTGTAAAAGAAGAAACTCTTTCATATAGTTAATTTCATGATATCTTTGCTAAAAATGGTCTTCCAAAAGCTTACAGGCAATTCAAAATATATTTTATTTGTTCAGGTTTGGTTGCTTTCTGGAGCACTTCCTGATGCCATCTTATAACAGTGGTTGGCTTAATATATTACACTAACTCAGAATTGTTTTAGGTAGTTCTCGACTTATGACCACAATGGAATTGTTGTAAGTTGAAGCTTACAACGACTGGGCTTGATTTTGTTAAGCAAATCATGTGGTTGTTAAGTGAATCCAGTATGTTCTATGGGCATTTTTTTGCCAAAAACCAGCAAAAAAATGCCACCAACCAGCAAAAACAGTCACAAATTATGATAACATGACCATGGAACACTGCAACCATCGTAAATGCGAGCAAGTTGTCAAGTGCCCAATATGTGATTATGTGACTACAAGGGGGGGGGGCTGTGGCAGACATAACTTTGAGGATGAGTCATTTTGTCTGTCACAACTTCAAATTATTATTAAGCAACTGTTGTAAGTCAAGGACTACCAGTAATTTGTTAAGCAACAGTTATTTGCCTATCATTTGCATACAGTACTATTTTGCTCTGTTTGCATGATTGCTAAGGAAACTATATTATGTATTAAAATAGCTTGTAAACTAACTACTGAGCCCCCACAATACAAAGATTGTCCACTGTAAAGCCCCTCCAGTCAGATCTGATGATGAAGAAAGAGACTTGATCTTTTATTTCCTGGTTAGTTCACTCTATTGCTTTGTGAATGAAAAAGGGAATGTTTCTCTATTCTCTATAATTGTCCTTAGGTCTTCTTTGGGAATGCTTATGTAACAAAATGCACAGCCAATTTGGTGCTGGACTACAAACAAGGGACTGTGAGTTCTGGGCCTTCCTTAGACATGAAAGCCAGCTGGGTATCTTCAGACAAGTCATTCTCTTTCAATATAAATGTACATACATACATACATACATACATAGATACATACGTATGTACAAACATACATACATGACTGTGTGACCAAACGTGATAATAATAGCCCTTTGTTATTATTTTGTTATGTTTACAGATGTACTGGCAAAAATAATTTTTACTAGTGGCCCTTGATAAATTTAGTGCCTTAAGGAAAAAGATGGGGTTTGGAAATGATCTGAAGTATTCTCATGAAGCTTTGCTAAAACTGCAAGATTGGGAGTTACGGCTATTGGAAACAGTGAAGAAATTTATGGCCATGAGAATAAAAAGTGACAAAGAATACGCATCCACTTTACAGAATCTTTGCAATCAGGTTGATAAAGAGAGTACGTCACAGTTGGATTATGTCAGTAACGTAGCAAAGGTAAGAAAATGTAATTTAATTTAAATTTAAAGTGAGTAAACTTTTAAAATCTGATAATCTACAAATTTACAAACTTTGTGGTAAACACACAGAATAATTTTAAGACTGCAATTTTGAGGATATAATTTCTTGGTTTCTGTTGAGTTCTGTAGACTTCAATAAAGATAATTTGATTGTTTAAACTGTTAAACTGCTTAATGGTTTGGTGTATGTTTTCTGTATGGACTTGATTTGTTTTATGTTTGAGAATTTCTTTGTGGATTTTGGGGATAAATCATATACTTCCATTCTGAATTTTGGCCCTAAAATTTCTGTTTCAAATAGTCCTGGGTTAATGATAGCAATTAGAATATCTGTTGCAAATGAGGCGGATGTAGACATCTGTTTAGCAACAATAATTCCAGCACTCTTGGTTGCCATCATTAAATCACTGCAGTGGTTAAGCAAGGGTAGCGCATTTTGCCATTTATGACTTTCTGCCCAACTTCTCAATTAACTTTGCATTCAAATGCACAGATCACAATCTTGTGATTGTGGGACAACTGGAACTCTGAGGACTAGGTATAAGTACCACTCATTTAGCATTATTATAAGATTGAACAGTCACTGAAGAAGTGTTTGTTAGTGAGGATCCCTTATCTAGTTTAGGTATTCCAGTGGGCCTAATTTAGTACAATTTAAATGTTAGCCTCATAAACAACTTGGCAATACTTGGCAATTTTACTTAACATTATAAAAGTGTTAATTTGCTACATTGCTTTACCTTGAGCCATGCTATTAACATTTTTTTGACATAGATAAATTTATTTTTGTATTCATAGTTACAATAATACTCTTTCATATGTAAAATCACTTGAATTAATATCTAGACTAAAAAATTGCTAGGTATGGAAACTCACCTAACAAATTAACGTATGTGAATGTAGAGGACATGGATGATTGCATGTTCCATTTCCACTCTTTGCATATCAGAATGTATGATGCAACTGTAATTTTTACAGTTTTGACATTTGGAAGTAAAGCTTTTGGTCATGATCTTAATGTGCAAATCTGAGGTAATTGAAATGCATCTAACAAGATAGTCTTTATACAGATAGTCTTTGCTTAACGATGGCAATGAGGACCAGAATTTCTGTTCCTAAGTGATGCAGTTGTAAAATATGACAACATGTGACTGCATTGGGTAGCAACAGCAATCCTTGCATTCCCCATTTCCATTGCTAACCAAGGATCTTGGGTCATTAAGTGAAACCCAGGTGGCTTGCATGCAGGCTGGCAGGAGTAAGTGGCTGCTGCTGGGCGGAGAAGGGTATGCAAATGGTCAGTGAGAATGACAGTTTATTCAGAACCTCTTCTTTTTCTTGTCTCTTTAACTGTTTTGGAGAGTCAATCTTAAAAATGAATTGGAATTTTCAGATTTTACTTATTATTCTTTTTTTTTTTCTTCTTTTTTAAATTTTTTATTGTTTTCAGCATAAAAAAAACACATCACATATACATCACAATTCAAAAGCCACCCCCCACCCCCCACCCGGACTTCACGAACCTAATCCCAGGATACTATTCAACTAAAAGTAAACTAATATTAATATCCCTAACTCCACAAAGTGTTATTCTACATAAGTAGGTGAAATATATATATATATAAAAAAAAATTTTTTTTATCTAAAAACCTAACTTATATTCCACCATTCTATGCTTATTTTGAATATAAACAATCCATCTTCTCCATATTGATAAAAATTGTTCGTTTGAATGATCCTTCAAATAAGCCGAAATCTTTGCCATTTCAGCAAGATGCGAAACCTTCAATCTCCAGTCCTCCATTGTAGGTAAAATTTTACTCTTCCAGTTTTGAGCTATCAACAAACGGGCAGCAGTTAAACAATACAACATCAAATTCGTTTCTTTTACATCCAAATTATGTGTAATACCTAGGAGAAACAACT